TGGAATACGGTGTCCAGTTCTGGTGCCTACAATTCGAGATAGATGTTGATAGATTGGAGAGGGTTCAGAAAAAAGCCACAAGAATGATGAAAGGACTGGAAAACCTGCTTTATACTGATAGACTCAAGGAGCTCAATCTATTTAGCTTAACAAAGAGAAGGTTAAGGGATGACTTGATGGCAGTCGACAAGTACCTACGTGTGTGTGGGGGGAGGATATTTAATAATGGGCTCTTCAATCTAGCAGAGAAAGGTATAACGTGATCCAATGGCTGGAAGCTGAAAGTAGGCAATTTCAACTGGAAATAAGGTCTACATTTTTAACAGTCAGAGTAATTTACCACAGGCCCAATTTACCAAGGGTTGTGGTGGATTCTCCATCGCTGACAATTTTTAAATCAAGAGTTGATCAGGGGAGCTGGAGCAATTTGTATCGTGGGGGTGCTGAGAGCCATTGAACCAAACCGTAAACCCTGCATAGGATGGAAACTACTTCAAACCAGGGAGTGCTGCCTCTACTTCCTGCACCTATAAAGCTGATGTTCTTCTAAAACATCTGCTCTGCAAATTATTTTGGGGATGTTTTATGTGTTATACAGGAGGTCAGACTAGATGACCACAATGGTCCCTTCTGGCCTTGGAATCTATGACTAAACAGATGCTTGACACCCATTCCAACGCCCTCAAGTCTTATGCCTTGACCATAAACTTATCCATCTTCACTTATTTGCAGAAAGGCCTATTTGTGCTAGGGATCAAGAATAAAAAGACCATTACAAGACGGCAGTACCAAGAGCCTGAATCCTCATGAAGAGACTCTGTTGCTGTTGACCCAATAAAAGACAAGAGGGGAAGAGCAGCAAGGTGCCAACTATTCATAAGATACAAAATGAGAGTCTTGTCCAGAGGCCCTAGCTAGAGCCCTGGGTGCTAGATTCAACTCTGTCTAATCCTCACCGAGTGGACTTTCATCATGCTTGTAATTAGGTGGATAATAATTTAAAGAGACCGTTGACTACACAAGTCTGCTAATCCTTTAGTGGAGCCTGTTTCCTTTAATCTCTTTCAGCGTCTTTAATACAGAGAAATGTAGTCGTGCACTCTCTGCTCAGTCACTCGCTCATTAAAGGGAAACTTTAACCTCATTCTCTCTGCCTCACAGGCATGCCGGAGAGAAATGCAGGCTGGAGAGCCAGCCTCCTGACCACTGAAGACATGAGGGAACTTTGAAATCCCAAGGACTGGTCTTGCTTAAAGTCTAATGCCACCGCATAGGCCGGTACCCATGGCAACAGGTTGTCAGATGTCAAAAAACTGTCAAAAAAAATCAAAAGGACAAGCTGGGGGGGGGGGTAAGGAAGGGTGTCTTTGTCCCTGGATAAGGGGAAATCCCCAGGGAGGGCCCATGGGTAACCAAATACTGCTGAGGAGAAACTCTGTTCATTAACATAATTGACCACTGTCACTTACAGTTGCCAACATGAGACAACAATGGGACAGTGGATCAAGAGAGCTTTCAAACGCAGTGAAGTATTAGAGAAGGGAAGGGTGGGAACAGGAGCTGCCGAACTGCCTGATGCTGTATGGATTATTTCTCCTGCGAGCAAGGGAAGGCCTTGAACGGTGAGGTGGGCATTTAGTTGTTATGTTTTGCCCTTCCATTGCGCCTTTTGTCTGACAAGCTCAAAGCGTTTTGAAAATGAGAACTCAGTTCTCTGGCAAAACAACCAACACCGAACTAGAGGAGTAAACAGAGGTCAGAAGAGTTTAGCTCGGAGATGGATGGGGATCCATCCATCCAGGGGCACTGGAATGGGGGGAAATCGGGGGGGGCATGTCCCCATCACTTTTTACCTGCCTTAAGGGCGAGCTATGGGAGGGAGGAGGTGGCGAGGAGCGGCCCTTCCCCCACTTCTAGGGAGCTTCCAGCGCTCCTGAATCAGCCCCCTTTGAGCCAAACACACCTGAATCTAAATTCAAGCCACAGAGGAAGCTGAGTCTGGTGTGGAGGTAAGTCTGTGCACCTAGGTCCTGGGCAAAGCCGACTAGGATTGTAAGGAGGGTGGAGGAGACTAGCGGTGTGCCAGGCTCAGTTACAGGAGACTTCCACCCCAGTCCCAATCAAGGACACGCAACTTACAACCTACTCCTTGTCAGCATTCTTGATGGCATGGGGCAGCACTGCTAGGAATCGTGGCCCAGATCCTCAAAGGTAAATGGAAGTTAGGAGCCTGAATAGCTTTGAGGATCTGGGCCCATGGCTGTTTGCTGTCAGCGCAACGGGTCTGCCAACGTCACATGGGCTTGTGCCAGACCCCCTCCCGCTCCCCAAGATATTGTAATACCCTTAGCAGAAGATTTCCTTTCCCAGGGCGGCATTAGGAAACTAATCTTCTGGAGTATGTCAGCATCTTAGTGTCTGAGGCAAGCTCATGAGCCAGCTCAATGGACTAAAATCAGTACCAAGTATCAAGCAATAAGAATAAGTAAGAAGCATTCATCAATGTGATACACACGGTAACAGCGTTACTCACGATCAATATGTTAGATAAGGAAGTCTTCACATAGCTGTAGGGTTGGCACTGAGCTACCTAAAGCACCCAAATGTCTTCAATAACCCGCCCCAGGCCTAACTCAGACACAGGCAATACCCCAGGGATCAATATTACCCCTGTCTTCCCAGGCTTTCAATCCATCTCTGGATGCAATTCAGAATCATCTTCCTGATTTCCCAGACTGCCCATAGACTTGTTCCCCTCTATACCAATCACCTTGTGTCTACCTGCTCCTCTACTCACTTTGCTGCTGTGATCTCTCTGGTCTTCTGTCCACCCACCCTTCCAGTTTCCCTCCCCAATCTGATATCCCCCTTGTTCCAATTCCATATTGTCTCCATCGCAGGGCACTCTGCTTTGCATAGTGTGATGGATCTGCAAAGCAGGGGACTACAGCTCCCATCAGCTTCCTCCTCACGGCACATCCCTTCCCCTTGGCCAGGTAAGAGGAAAGGTCCTGAACCAGGGAGTGGCGGGGCTCTCCTTGATGGGGAGCAATGGCAGCATGGACAGAGCTAGAGAGAAGCTGAAGGCAGGAACGGAGGCAGAGTCCCATGTGGAACAGGCGGTGAGCGCCAGACATCACAGCTGGGTGCAGGTCTGTGTGGGACTTATGCAAGAGCAGCAGTGCTGGGCAGGGAGCCAGTGCAAAGGGGCCCAAAGGAGATACCAACTGAACTTGGCCTGGAACGTGCAAGCTCCAACCTGGTTGAACAGAGACTGGACTGGAAGAGGGGCCCCCAGGCACTAGGTCCTAAGGGCCCTGACTTTCAATTGGACTGTCCCCAGGGACCCAAACTTTGGCCACGAACGCTCACTTTGAACGGTAACCGTTTAAGCCTCTGTACCAAGGGGATCCGCAATCTTTCCCTTTCCTGCCAGCCCGCGTACAACACCCTTTCCCTTAGCCAGGGGCCTGAGGAGCTATTGGGACAAGGCCTAGCTGCGGAAGCACCTACAGTGCTTGCCGCCAAGTGGTAGTACCCCTGGCACGCTACTGGCCCTGAGGGTCTGGTGTACTCCAGCATTGAGCAGCAGCAAGAATGACAAGGTATCTCCCCTTTTGAGGGCAGTCCTGTGAGGAACCCGCCCTGCCCATATACACAGACCCTCAGTCTCCAGGGCTGGCGGCTGACCGTGGCATTGTAGAAAACGAAGGGGAATGGTTCTAAGGAGCTCCGGTAAACGTTGGGAACCGGCGCTCTGTGTGTGTGTGTGTGTGTGTGTGTGCCAGAGACAAAGTCCTGCCCTGGAGACCCTCCTTGTCGTTAAGGGGTGCACAAAGGGCGATATTCACTCACCACAAGGCCCTCTGCACCATGGAAGTGCCCCTTTATCCTTGGAAGGGGTGAATGGGTCCAGGCCTGCGCCAGACACTCTAGGACCCTAAGCTGCTGCTACCTGGTGGGGCAGGACACCCAAAAAAGGGCAGACCACCCCCAAACCTGTCCCAGCTAGTTAGGAGAGGGGGTTGACCACACACATCCTAGGCAGCTGCCTATCAGCCTACCACTAAGGCTAGCTCCGGGCAGGTCATGGACAGAGCAGCCATTTGGGATGGAAGAACGCTCTACCTCCTGACAGGTTCTGAGTAGGCCAATGGGGCAGAGCTCATAACTGCCTCAGCGCCTTGAACCTAGGTGGCAACCCTACACTCTTCCCAGGGGAGAAGGGAGTGAATTCCAGCCTTCTCTCCCCCACTTTACCCGCCCCCATGAAGCCTTCACATCGGGCCTGGCGAATAGGCCCTAGAAGGATGGCACTGCAAATGCAATAATGGTGCCCCTTGCCTGGGTGAGGATGTTTCAAGGAAGGACTTATTTTTCCTTTGGGGGTGGGGAGAAGTTCCCCCTTAGCCTGAGAGGACCATGCATTCTGCTCCGACAGCAGCCTCTGCGTGACGCAGGCGGCGTCATTGTGATAACAGGGCTTCCTTTCTGACAGGAAGGGTTCTCATTGCAGGCACAATGACTCAGAGAAACAGGCCTTTTTCTCTTCTTGCTTCGGCCCTGACACACACGCAAAAATAAACCCCAGCCGTACCAAAAACTTCGACAGAGATAATGACCGGCTAGGTTTAAAAACAGCCAATCATGCCATAATCTTGTATAAAAAAAGAACCCTAAATGTGTTCCATTAAAAGCAGACAAGGGGCAGGGCAAAAGGGGGGGGGGGGATGAAAAAAACCCTTCTGCAGGCTAAATAAAAAAAAATAGGATTCATAAAAATAACCCAAATTGGCCAAAAAGCCTGGTGTGTCATTTCATGCTCTCAGCACAGCAGGCGGGAGCTGGGTAATTTATACCTCCCTACAGCACAGTCTTGGGGCAGATTATTCAGAGAGAGTGTATTTATATCCATTAGTTTTCAGCTGTGGAGAACTGAAAGCTCTTTTCCTTTCCGGCTCAGGGTGTGTGCGCTTCGGGGGAGGCGCTTGCTCACTGTGTTGTGGTCTTGACTTGCCGATGGGCAACGGTGGGACCCGCTGAGGCTGTGAGAACAGAGGAAAATCACAACTGATGTGCAGCGTAGGTAAGGGATGTGTCAGTGGGGATGAAATAGTGGTGGGGTGATGCACATTCACCGGCCTTTAAATATGGCAGGACAGACCGAAAAGCACGGGACAAGACAAGAAACCTTTTTCACCTTGCTCAGAAGGCTGTTGACTTTGATTAAAAGGTTGGACCCTGCTGGGTATTAGGTGGGAGAGAATGGGTGGCATTAGTCTCCGCTGTTGTGCAATTAACTATTTCCAGCAACATGTGCAGTGGGGATGGATTTGAGGTGCAAAGTTTGGACCCAAACTTTTACAAAGTGTGGGGCCCAGAGAGGGGGCTGGGTCTGAAGTTTGCCTTGGGCCCACCCCTAGTTAGCAACGTGCTGTTTTTTCTGCTGGTGGAAATAGAAACTGAAAGCGAGATGGTCCATCAGCTGCATCCAAAATCACCTTCTGTGTCTCCCTTGGCACATCCCTGCCCACTTTTTCCTGCCCCCCATTCAGTGAACTATGAAGTGGCTACAGATGCTTACACACGCTTGCCGTGCTCAAGGATCTGTAAGATCCTGTCAAGCGCAAACATTCTGTGGCCAGTGCCAGGTGCCCCAGAAGGAATGAACAGAACAGGCAATCATCGAGTGATCCATCCCCTGTCACCCATTCCCAGCTTCTGGTCTCTTCTAACCCTATGGTTCTATGACATTTGTGCGTATACTGCCCCAGCTTAAGTAAGATGGAGCTGGTGGTACATCAAGCCCAGTGAAGAGTTCTTGATTTTTGAACTGCCCTTGGTCTGACAGAGCCGAGCTTTGTGAGAGGAATAGCTTAGATTGGAATGCAGATCTAATATTGGAATACAGATCTTCTATAAAGGTGTATGTGTCAAGTGGGAATCTTCTTGATAAGCTTTAAAGTACCTTTTATCTGTCAAAATGTAGATTCCAAACAATAAACTGTCTGACATATAACCTAGTTCCAGAATAGGAAGGCACAAAAAAGGAAAGAAGAAGAAACCAAAAGTGATAAAACTGATCATAAGATCAAACTTATTTTTAATTTTGCTGAAGGATGAATGTTGAGTGACTTTGTGTTACTAGGTGTTTTGGTTTGTTTTTGTTCTTTCCAAGTAGGTATTTTTAATATGATTTTTATGTTGAACTTTCCGTAAAATGGTGACGCTATGCCATCTCAAGATCTTTTCATGGCCAGATATGGCCATGTCAGCTTCCTCAAAAGTGCATCTGGATTTTCAGAGACAAGGAGGGGGAGGTAATATCTTCTGTTGGTGAAAGAGAAAGCTTTTGAGCTTACACAGATCTCTTCTTCAGGTCTGGATTTTTGATATTTTGAGGTGGAGGGATGGGGGTGTCACAGACTTGTAATCTCTGTAGTATGCAAAACACCAAATATTTTTAAATTTCCTGGTTTTCCAAAGTAATGCTCACTAAGGGGGACCTAATTCAAACTTGATTGGACCAAGTTGCATGGCTGTGAGGTAGGTCTTGTGACTGATTTGCCCAAAGATCATGGGGTGAGGTGCTGCCAGGCTGACAAAGTGAATTTTGCAAACTATATGAATCAATGGTAAGGCAAAGAAAACTCACTGTTTAGATCAACAAGCCAACGGACAGAAGACTGACCCCCCCAAAATCCCCAAGACTAATCACATTGGGGAGAGGAAGTCATGACATGAGTGACCAGGCCACTCCAACCTTTGATCAGTCTCCCCTTGCACAGGAAGGAGGCCTGCTAATGAGAAGGCCTGTGCCAGCAGAAAATCACCATCTGGCTCCGGGATTGCAGTCTTAGATCCTACCCTGAGAGTCTAGGAGACTGCAAGAGCTGAAGGGTTTGCAACGATGCCATCTCCCTGCCTGTTATCTTATGAAGTATCTTCTTTTTCCTTTTCTCTCTCTCTCTTTAAAAATTTTTGTGTGTGTGTGTTTATTAGCTGGGAGACATCCCAGCCTTTTTATATTCTTTAATTGTAGGGTGTGAAAGTGCAAATCTGCGTGCCTGTGTGGATGCACACCCATAAAGTCCATTCAGGGAAAGTGCCTGAAAGAAATTTCCCCAGGTCTAAACAGCCCTAAATATTGCCTCATAAAATTACTCATTACAATGTGTTCTGTGTTGAAAAGTCCTGAGACTTGAAATTATCATGTGTAATTTTTGGTAAACTTCTGCTTATCAAAAGTGTTTTGCTGAAGTTTGTATTATAATATCTCTGTTGGAGGTTGGGGGAAGGAAAGGGTTAGTCACCACACAAAAATTGAAATCAAAGGAGGAAGTTTTGTAATTGACCTTGAGGTTGTGGGTCAGACATTCGATAACAATTTGGCTTCAGTATTACGACATTTAACCAGCTTTAAGTTACAGATTGGATTGACTTCAGTAAAATTCTTTATGGACAGCGACCTCCTTCGATTCCTTCTTAGAATGTAGAAGGATTGATTATTTTTAGTATGAATATTGTCTGTAACTGCGCATGTCTGGATCCTTTCTCAGGAACCAACCGGAACACAAAGTCTTCCCCACTACTCCTGTTTCACTCTGTTGTTTTAACGGGACACAAAGAAAAGTAGGCCCCTATTAGGCATGTGGTGCATACATCCATGACTCTGGGGCAGCGTACCATCCATTCTTACTAGTTAGAATACTAGCAGTCAGACTTCACAGCAGGTTTTAAATATAAGAAATGAAAAAGAGAGTAAGTCCTTGTAAGTTCTTCAGGGTGGGGCCACGGTTTGCTTTATATTTGTATAGCACACGATGAGCGCTATCCGGAAATAAACAGTCATCAATAGCTGAATAACTGTAGGGAAATGTAGATGGGCAACAAGTACAGTATTTAGCCAAACTGGAGTCTGATCTGGACATTGCAGTTTCAGTGCTCTTTCAAAAAGCATCCTAGAATTGTTAATGACTGCCAAAGGTCTTACAGTTAGTCTGAAAGCCGGCACCTCCAGCCATAAAGACACGCTAATACTGTACTAGGGCCCTGGGTCAGTCCTGATGCAGAGAGAACAGCACCAGTTTGAATCACCAGCACTGCTTCATGCAGTACCATGGGTCTAAACTAGAAGTCTCCCGAAGTACCAACCCAGCTATGATCACTCCCAGATCTCTCCCCTTTTCCAGCTGAAACACTGAACCGTTAGCCTCTTCTAAATATCTTGTTAAAACAGTGCCTTGCCTCTTGAGCCCATGGCTTGACTGACGCTGAAGCATTTTGTGATGCCACGTGCAATGGATGCTGCATACAAGCCTATTGTACTGTACTGTGGGGACCTTTCATTCATTTCACATTTCCCAGCTTATGTCCCCTGCAGTCCCAAGTCATATCAAGATTTATCGTCATACGTCAGCCCACACAATCTCTGTGATCTTTTGGGTGATAGGGTCTTAGTCACTGTCACTCTTTTCATTACCATCTTCCTTGCTGAAAAGGCACATCACACCTGGAGATTCCTTCAATACCCTTCTTCAAACACTAGCGATGGGAGAACCTAACATGGATTGGCGTTGGGGTTCCATTTGGATAAGCAGCGGAAATCTCAGATGCCTGCATGAATTTCAGTGATCCAAATCAACTGGTCGTGAGCTTAAGTTTTGGAGACCACATTATTTAAAACATACAGGCACCTAGCAAGGATCTGAGACTAGAGCCACTTCAACTCCAAGAACAAAGGCCTCCAGTATACTCCATTAGCTGCTAGCAGTAATTAGCTCCATATCCTTGATTTCTCACTCTCTCTGAAATGGAATGAGTTACCTAGGGAGGTGGTGGAATCTCCTTCCTTAGAGGTTTTTAAGGTCAGGCTTGACAAAGCCCTGGCTGTGATGATTTACTTGGGGATTGGTCCTGCTTTGAGCAGGGAGTTGGACTAGATGACCTCCTGAGCTCCCTTCCAACCCTGATCTTCTATGATTCTATGATTCTTGCATATGGCATCTGCAAAGCAACATTCTATAGGTGCAGTTGTAGGTCCATAAGCCATTTCAAGGCCTCCTCTGTGAGTAGGCAGATATCATTCAATTCACCTTTGAAGCTATATCTGGGGCACTGCATTATGGTGTTTTTGAGAGTTTGGATGTTATCACCACAGTTGCATGAAAGGGAGTCTTTGATTTTCCACTTGTGTATCAAGTAGCCTCATCTTCCATGGTTTGTACAGATGCGGTTCAGTGTGGTCCAAAGTCTGCCTGGCAAGTCGGAACCAGGAGGGGGTCAGTGATAATGTGCATGTTTGGAACAGTGGGTGAGATCCAGTCACTTTGCTGTTCCCTGGCTGAATCCAGAGCCATGAGGTGATCACATGGTCCATAGTGGTTTTCGCAATTTCAGGTGTTGTTGTGGTATGTTACCCATACCTGTCGGATGGGAAGTTCAGGGTAGTCTTCGGTGCATTTAAGTTCTTGTGCTCTGGCTATATCTTGGTGGGCAGCTGGAGATTCAATGTTTCCTAAGACAGAAAGCCATGGTAGAGGCATTGATTTTAAAGTTCCCGTGATGAGTCTCATAGTCTGATTCAGCTGCCTGTCCACAAATTAGGTATGGCAGCTTCTAGTCCACAGCGGTGCACAGTGTTCTGCAACTGAGTACACCAGGACCAAGGCCAATGTTTGCAGCACCAGGGCAGTTGATCTGCAGCTTGTTCCCACTAACTTTTGAATAATGTTGATGCGAGTCTTCTCTTTAGAGGCCACTTCCTTGAGGCGGTCATGAAAGGTCAGTGTGCAGTCAAGAATGACACCGAGATATTTATGTTGGCTATGGGTCATAATGCACAATTTCACCACAAAACTCAACAGTTAGAGTTTTGTGGGATTCTGTCGTCACGGTGGAAAATAGAGACTACCGATTTGCTCAGATTTGGTCTCAGCCACCACTTTGGGAAGGTTTTGATACCCTTGATCAAACCACTAGAGGACAATGTCACACTCGCACAGAGGTAAAGGTAGGCAACATGGTTAAGCTACTGGACTGGGCTTCAGACGATCTGGGTTCAATTCCTTTCTCTTCCACAGACTT